ATTTTTCATCTTTTGCTTAATTCGGTAAGCTTCCTTTTGCAAAACTAGCTCATTCATTTCTCTTTGCAAAATTAAAGTTGGCGAATGATATGTGCTTACCCCTGTTCCGGTAGTTTTTACAATTGTTTCCTCTGTATCCTCGAAGTTATTGGGAAAAATATTTTGAAATTCCCGCTCCGTGCATGGAGATTGCTTCACAACATTAATCAATTCTTTCAAAAGTTTGTTTGTAGTGTCCGTTTTCTTCGGAAGTTCCGCTAATAAAATATCTATGTCCATAGATAAAAATACAGAAAGCATAGTTATCAAAGAGGCCGACAAAGGAGGCGGGGTAGTCATCATGAATAAAGCATTTTATGAACGTAAAATTTTGAATATGCTGCAGGATCCCGTCTACTATAGAACTATTAATGCAAATCAGGAGAAAAAAAGTTAGCAAAGATAAAACAACTTGTCAGTGGGCCATCTTCCGGGAATATGACTGCTAAGGAGAAAGACTATCTAACAAACTTTGATACCAGTGAGAGTCAATTTTATGGATTACCAAAAGTACATAAATCATCGGAAATCAAAAACGCAATACATGCTCAAAAAGGAGAATACATCTGCTGTCCTAATCCAGAAGATCTCTCTTTTCGACCCATCGTAGGGGGACCTTATTGTTCAACACAAAGACTTAGTCACTTGTTAGATATTTTATTAAAACCTTATTATGAAAAAGTTCCCAGTTTTATTAGAGATGATTTAGATTTTATTAATCACCTACCAGACCATATTCAAAGTAACACGAAGCTGGTGTCATCCGACGTCGTTAGTTTATACACAAATATACCAGTGGATTTGGGTATAAAAGCTGTTAAATATTGGATTGACAGATATCCAGATTTACTACAAGATCGTTTTGAGAAAGAATTTATATTGGAAGGATTAAGAATAATACTTCTGAACAATACCTTCGCCTTTGGAAAAGATCATTTTATACAAACCAAAGGAACAGCGATGGGGACAAAAGTGGCTCCCACATATGCCACTTTAACCTTAGGATATCTCGAACAGAAACTACATCACCAACTAGCCACTCTATGGGGAGAGGAAGATGCTGAATCTATAATATCAAAATGGAAAAGATTTCTGGATGATTGTTTTATTCTATGGAATGACAATGTTGACAGATTATTCGTTTTCCACCAGTTGTTAAACGGCTTGGATTCTAATATCAGATTTACAATGGAAAGCAGTGATACTAAATTACCTTTTCTTGACGTCCTAGTCATCAAAGAAGATACAAAACTTTCTACGGATATCTATTACAAATCAACTGACACCCACCAGTACCTATATTTTGCTTCCTGTCACCCTCACCATACAAAAACAGCAATCCCTTACAATCTTGCTAGACGTTTATGTGCTATCGTTAGCGATGATAACACTAGAGATATCCGACTGAAAGAGCCGTACCTTATAAAACAGGGATATCCTGAAACCCTCATAGATAACGGTATATTGAAAGTCAAAGGATATACACGATCTGAATTACTGTCTACAAAGAGCCAGGAAAATAAAACGGAAATTATTCCATTTGTGCATACTCACAACCCACGGAATCATAACCTGACCTCTATAATTCACCAACTGAACAACATTCTTAAAGATGACCTATCAACAAAACGAATATATAAAGATGTAAAATTTATCAACAGCAGACGACAACCTAAGAATCTTAGAAGAATCCTGTGTTCTTCCCATTTTAAAAATACCTGCACAGTCGCCAAGTGTGAGGAAGCACGTTGCGGGACACGCCAACATATCATAGAAGGATCAACTTATAACTTTAACGGAAAACAATTTACAGTCAACGCAAATATGTCTTGTGACACTAAAAATGTAATATATGTAATTACATGTCCTGGATGCCACCAGTATTACATCGGGGAAACAAGCAACCCGCTTCGCGCCCGTGTGCGTGTCCACAGACAACATATTAACTCACCGGAATATCGACAAATCCCTCTAAGTGAGCATTTGGATCGCTGTGGAAATAAACAGTTTACTATATTTCCTTTTTACAAACTTTCAAATGAAAGTGACATCCGGAGACGCGAAAAAGAAAAACATTTTATACATATTTTCAAACCTAAACTTAACAATTTATCGTAATCGTAATCACAATTGTACATATTGTTTCCATTCTAAATTTCCCGCATTGTTTAACTATGACGTCACTATAGACGCTAGAATTTGTGTTCCGCTTATTATGACGTTATGTTGCTATGTTACCTATTGTAGAGCTTCTGAAGATTGAAAATGAAAGCGCTAAAGCTTTGCTAAACGTTTTCGTGTTTCATTTTTAAAATTGTACCTATAATTTACCGAGCACTGTGGATTTATATTTATATTTCAATATATATATATATATATATATATATATATATATATATATATATATATATATATATATATATATATATATATATATATATATATATATATATAATCGTTATTTTGTAATCTGAACTGTTTTGCTAATGTCTGTAAAATAAATACACAAGTTTTATTATGCTGACAGTTTAAGAGATTCCCAAAAGGAGTACATGTATAATATAAGAAAGACCGTCTTTGGTATGAAATATGTAGATAACAAACAGCTAGTATTCAAGCTCAAAATCCATTCAAACAATACAAATCGGGAGCAGAGCAAACACGGACGTCCAAAAACATCAGAGGTGGGATCAGGTGCCATGGAGGAGTGAGCATCCCCTGCCGATCGGTCCCACCCGCCGTGTGCTCCTTGTCATAATCGGGAAAAAGGGAAAAAAATCCGTTTGACAATTCAGTGTATAAATAATGGCCTAACAATAAGTATGAAAAATGCCAGTCAGTATTTGACTCAAAGATAGTATCTTCAGCAAATACCCGGTAACGTAATACATATTTTTTTTCTGAGGACACTTGTTTTAGAATCAATAGTTCAATGACAAATTGTTTGGAAAAATTATATATCAATGAGGAACGTATAGTCTGATCTTAAAATAGAAATTTTCTCTTTAATAAATAATTACATTTTTTCATTGAATTTGTCACTTTTCATTTTCATTCAATCATGTACATTTGTTTTGTATTTTTTATCCCAAAATTTTGAATGCACAGATAAAGAAGCACATTGATTTTTAGGAAAGGACAAAATAGGTTAAGACCCCTTTTTGGTCCCTGGTTTGGGGTGTCTTTCACAATGATGCAACGGTTTATCAATAGAAACTTGTTGTCACCCCTACCACGAAATGAATATTGTTTCTAAGTTATGGGATATACAGAGGTCACAAGAAGATCAGAAAATATGTCCATTTCCGAATTTTCTCATTTTTATGCAAATTTTCATCGATTTTATAGCACATTTTGTTTCAGAAAACATAGAGCACAAGCTTGCTTATCTTCCAAATTTATATATTTCAGACACTAGTATCAGATACATCTTGCTTATAAAAATTTCAGATAGGCAAGCTGCTCTATGTTTCCCGAAGGGAAAAGTATCTCAAATTTGACAAAATTCCACCAGAATTGAGGAAATTCGGGGAAATGTCCTATTTCTGCACCCTCTTATGGCCTCCGTGTAAGCTTTGAATCAAAATTAATGCTGGTTTTAAAACAGGCACCATTTTAAGTTCTTAAAGTATGTCACTCGTCAGCTTTTAAGAAAAGTTCAGTCAGAACCTTTATCACAAAAACTATCTATTACAATTCAATTTTTATAACATATTTAAATTAAACAATGCAAATTATTCAAGATTCAATTAAAAAACTGCTCACAAATTCATAAAGAAGCAAGATTTATGAGGGACTATTTCTTGTGGTGGAAGGATATTTAAAAGAAAATTCTTCAAATTTACACATTTGTTTGATTAAATATCTTGGAACTTTAGTCCCACATATTTTTATTTTGAGAATATTTTCCATTATGACATGTTAGGAATATTAAGTATAGGTCTCAATTTATTATTTTAGAACAAATTTTACACATTCGTTCAACAGACTTTGCCAAGAAATGAAGATGTATTAAAGAAGTCAAGATAAAATTTACACCGTTTTTTGCCTGAAAATCGCACATTTTGACCAATATCTCAAAATTTACATCACTCACCCCAATTTTTTCTTTCACTATTTTAAACAACACGATGCTTCCTACCGATCAGCACATGTTATAAAAAGTTTGATACAAGAAAATATTTTATTACCTATTTAGATTTTTTATACCCCAAATATGATACTTTTTAGTGCAAAAAGGTCACACAATAATTTATGCGCATTAATTTGCATGATTTGTTCAATGATAAATATTATTCAAACTATTTTAGGTAAAATAAGGTTATATTTCTTGCCATAATTACATCTGATAAAATATGATAAAGATTAAAGTGAATAACCAAAAAGTTACAATTTAAGTGCAAAAAGGTCAACGTAATTGTACCGTAGCTAAGTAAGATGTACACTGACCCCCCATTTTCTTTGCGATTTTGAGTCATACTATATGAGTACTTATCTAAAATATACTTCTTAAAAAATCCTTGATATAACTAATTTTACGAGTGACATACCTTAACTACAAACTATCGCGATTTTAACTGTGTTCTGATTTTTACATCAACTAAGGGGCCAGATTCGGCCGTTACCATAACTTGTCCTTTTAAATATATACACTGTAAAAATATGTAATTATTGAATCCAAAGACATGTCATCATTTTCTCTACATGCCTCTACATCAACTGATGCTGAGATTCCTGTAATTTTATTGATAAGAAACTTGAATTAACGGAAATCAGAAACAATCTTTTTAAAAACCATGAAAAAATACTTACTAGTATATCTACATGAGAAATGGCATTGTCTTGAAGATACGTATGAAAAAACTGTGAGCATCTGATGTACTTTATACTCTCTATATATGCCTAGATCATCATACATGTCATTAAAACTTGACCTATTTTGCATTTAATCTTTTTTTCAGATTATGTGGAATACGTAACGCAGAAAATTATTATACAACATCTGATGAGCTGAAGAACGAAATGTTAATCAAATTTAATAGTGCAGTATCCAGTGACAGGGCACCGAAGAAAGGTTTTCAGCTGACAGTTAGGAGCATTGGAGTGTGTAAGAAAACTCATTTATATATATATATATATATATATATATATATATATATATATATATATATATATATATATATATATATATATATATATACACGAGGGGTGATCAAAAAGTTCCCGAACTATCTCTATATTTACAAAACCACAATTCAGATCAAAATGAAAATTTGTCACACATAATAGTCATTAACATGTTCTATAAATAGTAGATGTTACGTTATGTTTGATCATGTTTGTGACGTCACAGTGTGAAAATGACGTCAATATGTAGATGATTTGTGACAAAAAATGGTTGACTCAGTCGTAATCGAGCTACGAACGGGTTTAAAGTTTAACATATATCTTGGAAATTCCTTTGCAGTAGCATATAATAATTTGTACAAGGTTTATAAAGCCAAAAGACTTGCCAGAAGTTCAATCATTAATTGGATTAAATGATTAATTAATTAAATGGATTGATTGTTTTAGTGAAGGAAGGGATATGGTTAAAAATGTTTGTTCTGGTGCCCAGTGAAAGTAAGCTGGGGAAGAGATGTTTCTTTAGTAGAGCAATTTGTTACGAAAGATCGCCAGGTTACAGTTAGAAAAATAACTGAATGTCTTAAAAATAATATAATCATTAAATCCCTAAGATATCGTTTACTTTAGACTTTAAACATATCAGATATGATAAAAAGAAGGCGCCCATACTTTATCCACAATGGATAAACAACGCGCACAAGACATAGGAGTCGAGTTGTGATTGTCACTATGCTCATTCTGGAAAAAGATATCCTTATCCATCCATCCAATTGCCGATAATTGGCCATTTGTGACAAACAGACTATTCCTGTTAAAAAAAATTAACTTGCATGGTAAGAAATATAAGACTCGGAAAAATCATGTCACGTGACCGCCTAGATCACGTGATTCGCGCATGTGCAGAACGATGGCAGATGTGCATGAAAATCGGAGATGACTTCTTTAAAAATAATAAACACTGAAACTTAACTTTATTTCTTTTTTGGAAGTAATTCAATTAGTTTGCGAACTTTTTGATCACCCCTCTTATATATGCTCCATTGAATTAAAATCGAATCACAAACTCGAATACACATTTTAACTGTAAAGGCTTTCTGCCTTTTAAAGACAGTTACAAAATGAATTGCAAATTACGTAACGCAGTTTAACTTGTAATTCATTTTGTAACTGTCTGAAGAGTGAAATTGTTTATTCGTTTTTTGTGAATCTCGATTTTAATCCATTGGATATACTAGTGCTTTACTGTACCAAAAACTGGATTCTCTCTCTCTCTCTATATATATACATGTATATATATATATATATAGGAAGCACAAAGAAATTCATTTTTATAAGGATACCAACTTCCGCCCCAACCCGGGGTTGAACTCTAGATCTACGGAATCTGTCTCCTAGCAATACAGGAACAGCGCGCTATACCGCTCGGCCATCTAGGCAAGTCTTAAAAACTTGCTTTTCGATGCAGATGGAATTCTCGCGGCGCTTTCAAACACTACACGGTCATTGAGAATGGAAGAGAGATACAGTTATTTGGATATTAGTTTTATTAGAGGATCGTTACCGATACACATACTTTTTTTTTACAGCAAATTTTTTTAACAACTCTTAAACTATTATTACTGCCCTAAGTATAGGAAGCACAAAGAAATTAACTTTTATCAGGATACCCTTTTCCTTCGACCTACGGACCGTTCACGGTAGCTCAGTCGGTAGAGCGCTCGCTCCGTGATCGGGAGGTCGTGAGTTCGAATCTCGGCCGCGACAGACCTAAGTCGATAAAAAATAGGTAGCAACTGTTCCTTCGCCATGCGCTCGGCACTTTGGAGTGAAAGTTGCGGGTCTTTCGGATGAGACCTTAAAAACCGAGGCCCCGTGTCACGGCAGGCGTTGGCACGATAAAGATCCCTCACTGCTCAATGGCCCTGAGTGCCGAGTAAAGGTCAAAATTTGAAGCCCTTCACCGGTATATGGTGACGTCTCTATATGAGTGAAAAATTCTCGAATGGGACGTAAAACAACATACAATCAATCAATCAATCGACCTACGGAATCTGTCTCTTAGCAATACAGGAACAGCGCGCTATACCGCTCGGCCATCTGGGCAAGTCTAAAAACTTAATATATATATATCAGTCAGTTGAATTACTGCTTCCGAGTATTGATGTGTTGATTTCTGTTCAAGTACATTTCTTGTCGTTTATACTCCTTTGAAACTTTTCAATTTTTCTCTAAAATGGTTATACAAATGTCAATCAATTTTAATACACAGCTTCTGTAGGTGACCCCACAGTTGGGCCAAGTTGGTCTTATTTTAATATTACATATTTTGTTAATATTCCTCCTACATCTGACATCCAAACTTTACATGATTAAATATTTAGGTAGCTGTTAACATTCCGTGATTACATGTACCGTATATCCGGTTTTTTCGCGATGATCTAATTTTCGCATTTTTTGCAATCATTTTTAATTCGAAAAAATTAAACACGCAGAAATTATATTGGTTATTGTGTACCATAAAAACGTTACCTTTTATTAATTTTTTTTTTTAATCGCAAAAAATAACTTACGCAAAATAAAAACTACAAATCTACCCTTTTTCGCAAAATTTGCAACACGCGAAAAAAACGGATATACGGTATATGGTTAGGTAGCTGTTAACATTATGTGATTATATGGTTAGGTAGCTGTTAACATTATGTGATTATATGGTTAGGTAGCTGTTAACATTAAGTGATTATATGGTTAGGTAACTGTTAACATTACGTGATAATATGTTTAGGTAACTGTTCATTTTGAATGTGTCCATTTACTTTCTGTTAAAGATTTACCTTATCATTTACAATTCGTGCTTGTTTTTAATTAAGAATTTATTGATAATGCACAATTCATTATTGTAATTTTATCTTAGTTTGCACAATCTGAGAAAGAATTTAATTTAAATAAAACTTTCTGTAGCACAGTGATGACACATAAAATGTTATAGAATAGAGAATACTTAGTGAAAGTCCAACTAATGTCATTCAAATAAACAAAGACTATTTCATCATGTTCATTGTCCACATTGCAATAGAGAAAGATCATGTAAATTGAAAATGACTTATTTATTCTCTATTAGACTTACTGCATTTAGTTCAAAAGTGATGAAATCATTCCAGACTGACATAAATACAGTTCCAATTGACATCTTTTAGTTAAATATCCTTTAACTAGAGTAAAAAAGACACATTCTTAGCCTCCAATTTAATATTTAAATAAAGGAAGTTATGATTGAGCATGCTCAGTAAAAAAAACCCAGTGAGATATGAATAAATAGTTTGAAGCAAAACCCGCTTGCATTAAAAACCGTCTTCCTGGGACACGAATTCCATGCCTTCACACGGGTTTTGTGAGCAAGGATTCCTCACTTTCAGACTCAGAATCCGTGTTCGTGTCTTGGACATGTAGAACCCGTACGGTACGGCTTTTTAAAAACCCGTGCTGGTTCCGTGCCTTAGCCGTGCCTATTCCGCATCAAAATTCCGTACGGAACATTAACGCCAAGGGGCTATTTGATTTGTTTTATCATCAGTACATTCTTATAAATTAAGGAGTGATGCTTCTCTATAGACTTACTTCAGACACCTGTTGGTTTTCAACATTTTTAGCTTTTTCTTTATTATGACTGTTGTATTTAAAAAAAAATATATTAAACATTTCAACAAAGGATGGAGGAAAGCAAAAATAACGAATTTTGCATTGTCTCTATCCCACTAGGTCATGAAGACATGACCTTCAAAATGTCTGAAATTGGAAGAAATTACTATTCTCATTGACATTCATTGGAAAATCTGTGTACATAATTATAATGAAAAGCTTCATTTTAATGAGTATATTTTTAAAAGGTATTTTCATAAATCCTTCATTAATTACTATGATATTTTTGCCATTTTGAGAAGCGCACGAGCAAGTATTAAGGATATAATTAAAATATGATATAGAGTTGTATAATGACAATAGTATCAAATATCTAAATTACATTTTTTTTCATCTTGGATTTTGCCCATTCAATATCTATTAAAGTAATTCTTCAAAATTGGCATGATGCCATTTTTAAGAGCTGTCTGCCCTTTGATATGTTGCATATTTGATAATGACAAGTGTTAGTTTTAGATGAACGAAGTCACGCTGTAATTTCGAAATACCTTGATGGATGATTATACAAAGAGAGTGTTGCAGTTCTTTTGTTATTTTCCCTAAAGCTGTAGCAGTTTAAAAGAAAAAAAATTAAGTAACAGAAAGCGGTCTTAATTTTTTTCAGATACAACAGTATACACAGCACAATGTAGAACAATATTTGCAAAATGCATATCGACTAACAATTTGCCATTAAAAGAAGTGTAAACTAGTCACATAGCAAATTAGTCAAGTTTTCTCTTTTTCAAATAGGGAATCCCCATTGTTCTGAAAAATTGCCTCCTTGAAACAGAATGAATTTCATATACGCATAAAGAGACAGGAGTTTTCTTCAAAACTGCCATTTCCGATTTTTGTTTCAAAGAGGCATATTTTTGAAAATCACAAAAATCGAAGAAAAATGATTATCCATCCGAAATGAAAAATGTGTACATAAAATAGCACTCGATACTTCAGTGTTGGAGCTGGTCTAGTGGTAAAGCGTATGGACTCCATGCGAAGATCTTTTTTTTTTACCTGAGAATGGGTTCGAATCCTGGAATGGCTGGTATATGCATATTTTTTTCTTATACACTATAATGGAAGTACAATGTAACAACTCTCTTGAGAGAGACAGAGAGAGAGGGAGAGAATGTCAGAAAGTTAATGGGTAATATTTTAAATGCATGCAGAATTAAATTGTTTTCCTTGATATTGTGATCTAAAACTAATAAGACATACATTTAATGTTATTATGAAGTGGCAATGTCTTAAAAAATAAAGTACTATCATTTAAAATAATATAATTTTTTTATACTCATTTCGTTTCATTATTGTTCTGTTAATTAGTGGCTCAGATTTGACTTGAAACAACTAAATTGAAATGACTTAATGGAATGTCTTGGATATTGCGTCAATAGCGTAATTATGGACATATTTTTACTCATATATATTGAAAAATATTAATGCACGTTTTTTACAGAACATCTTTCAAAATGATGTACTGCCATCAGTACATCATTGCCATTAATTGTGGTTTTTATCGTTCTAACTCTTCTCATGCAATATGGCGACAGTGACCATAGATGTGAAAAAAAGTTTCACAGGTCGCCAGTCAATGTTAGGAAAAACTATGCATGATATTAACATAAAATGTGAAATGTTTTGTTATAACAAGCTGGACATGCCCGCTGTATAAATAAAGTCATCTACGTAGCATTATCTATATGTAGAGATAACTCTTCATGCGTCATGGGTATTTAAATGTCCTTCTCGATTTAGGGAATAATCACGAGTTTCTGCAACACCCTCTTTAATTTTGATTGAAATAAGTCAAATAGGATATTTTCTATTTTTCCTGAATTTTTATGCCCCCGCCATAAAATGGCCGGTGGCATATAGTGTTACTCTGCTCCGTCATTCCATCATCATTGACCTTCCGTTCATTACCTCGGCAAGTTGCACACATTCAACTTCAAATTTCAAATATGGATACGGCATAGGAATACGCAGGTCAAATTCGAATTTGGTCGTGGTCCGATGATTTTTGGAAATGTTCAGTTCCCGCTCTCTAATTTTTGTGTATTTTATCAGAAAATACCGGTCAAGTTTGAATTTGGTCGTGGTTCGATGATTCGATGATGAAATAAATTAAATTTTTTTGTGTTTTTTCAGAGATTAAATAATATTTTTTTTTTTTTAGAAATCATGAGGACATGAACTACGACGCTTCACGCCGGCATATTTCATGAAGCGCATTAGCGCTTCATGATAAATATGCAGGCGTGAAGCGTTGTAGTTCATGTACCTCATGAATTCTCAAAAATTAAATTCATATTTACATTTTTTTCTGATGACTTGCCACATATTGTTGTCATTCAACGATCATTTTTGAAGAAAAAGTTTGCACTATTTTTTGACTTCAATTACATCACATTGGAAATATTCTTACTCATCCCACGGTACTTCAGGTGAAAGCGAAATTTTTTTAAATTTGCAAATAGTCTTAGATAAAAACTATTTGGAAATGTAAGTATTTTGATATGAATTAGCAAAAATTGTCTTAATGTTGCCTTTTTAAATTCATTCTCAATAAAAGTGACACCCAATAAAGTACAACTCGAGATTTCCGAAGTGAATAGTTTACATACGTTACTGATATACATTTTTTTCCAGCTTGTGTTGATTCACCTTGCCGGTTTGGTAAATGTGTGATTAGCGGTGCATCGTATATCTGTGAATGTGACAGTGGTTATTCTGGCGCCAACTGTAATGAAATCACTGACGGTAAACCTTTCAATAAAGATGCAGATTTTACATAATCGTAGAAAGTCCTTAGACAAACTTTGTTTTGTTGTTTGAAAGGAAAAATGTCATTAAAATGAAAAGCTTAACAGATTATTATGTTTTGAATTCAATTTAGGATCTGTAAGCCTTTCTGCAACATTTGATGATCCTGGTCTGACCTTCCTACAGAATGTACAATCAGATCAATTTGACTGGAGTGTCGGGTCTGTAAGTATCAATCTGTATTATAATATTATTTTGAAAAGGTACAACCTTTTAAAAACCATTGATAAACAAATCACCCATTTGATGTAGCCTCCATTACGATCATTGCAGCCTGTGATTTAGGTGATGTACACATTTACTGTTGCCGATATTGCCAGGTTTCTGATTTTTACCAAACATATGCAAGTTGTTGGAATTTCTTTTACTGTTTTCACAACGCTGGTTGTTTAATTTGATTTTTTTTTTTGACGTTTTGATAACAATGCATTTGCATTTCCAGATAAGTATGAAAATTCACGTACACATTTATTTAAATAATTAGCAAAAAGAAGTTAAAAAAAGACTTTTTGTAGGTGTTAGAGGTACAAGAAAAAGATGAATAATAATATTACTTCATTGTAACATTTTTCAGCAGATTTAAAAAAAGATACATGATGTAAGTTAAATTAAGGGCTTGTAGGTCCTCAGGTATGGTTACTTTCTCTTTGTCAATTTCCTAGAGTGAACTGACGAAGTGTTCAGATTTATGACCTGGAGAATTGATAGCAATTTATATGAGAATATTCTGTGATCTTTTTAATGCGGGGCAATCCCGAGTAGTAACAATCACTAATCAAGACATTTAATAGGCTCCTACTGCAATAGTTATGACAGGTTTCTTTGTACACTTAGAGTAGGATAAAGGTGCCTCTGTCAAAAATGTGCCTCCGTCCTCCATGAAGATATTTTTCGTGTAAGACACATAACTTATCAAATAGCTCTAAATTATTTATGTCACAGGTGATATTTCATTAAATATTTTGTTAATAATTCATATTTGATTAGGGCGCATTGTCAATCAAACATAGCACTGTTTGAGTGAATGAGCGACGTGTGAATGTTTTGTTTTGTCACGTGATGTTTCTATTTTTATTTTACAAACTGACCAGGTATAAGTTCAACTAGTGGACCAATGACATACCACTACTTGATGATTAATATGTATGTATGCTAACTTCGTGCACTACATAAGCGCTTATCCCGCCAAATAAAGTAACTCTTAGCTTCTACCTTCTAGCTTGTATGAGGTCCAACCCTTTCTGTAATGTTAAAGTCATCGAGTTTCACGTCTTGATAACTATGATATTTTATGATTATACTGGATACCTGGTAAGATTTATTTTTTATGATTTAAATACTTCTTAAAAGAATATCAATAATACGAAAAATACCTCATTGGCAGCGACGTGAATTTTCATGTTGTGTAATTTGTAACTTTGTTATGTGTTGTATTTGTCTCCTGTTAATGTGTGTGTGTGTTGTGAGTGTGTTTTCTAGGTTTCTTTTTGTTATCCTCATTTAACATCAAAACTGAACCGAATCTAGCGTTTTCTTTCGCGATGACCCTGTAACACTTAGAACATACCCGATCATTTCATTCATATTTTCATCAGAAAAAAGAAATTCCTAGATACTGTTAGATTTAGATTTAAATTCAGCTAGGTCAAATCATTTTAAATATTTCTCAAAGTCCCGGTTATTTGCAGTTTTGTTGCCTTCAGCAAGGAAAATGTTTTCTTTATTAGGTCGGGTCAGTTCTGTGAAGAATAATGTATCAAATATGCGAGCTTCATGGGTGCTCTCATGACAACATCCTTAATCCGCTCATCCTTAACCGTACTGACCTTCTTGATTTACCGTGGGTGCCTCTGGAAGTATGTCCTGCCTTAAGTACATTCATTTAAGAGATTTCTATGGATTATAACCAACAGAAGCTCTTGAAACAGAGCATATTCTAAAGTCCCGACATTTAGTCGTATGTTTTCGGCACTTTGACAATGCTTACTCTTGAACTGGTCACCAGTCACGGTAGCGTATCCTAGTGGTAGAGCGTTCAATTCTCTCCGCGCCGCGTCAAACATAACACGTAATCATAGGTAGTGACTGTTCCTTCGCCAACCTCCCGGCATTGAAAGTGAAAGTCACGGATCTTTCGAATGAGACCTTAAAAACCGAGGTCCTGTGTATCGATGGGTGTTGGCACGATAAAGAACCCTCACTGCACTGAGGCCCAGAGTGCAGAGTATCTAAACCCTTCACCGATATAAGATGACGTCTCTATATGATTGAAAAATTCTCGAATCGGACTTAAACAACAATCTCTTGAACTGGTTAAAAGTGTTACGTATAAATCCGAAGTGCAATTCGATTTTGCTGTGTATTGCCTTAGCTTCAATGACAAGGCCCCGTTTTACAAAAGAACTTACGTCTAAGACCAAAATGTACTTATGGAAATAACTTTCTATTTAGCCTTGTTACTTTTTACCCAAATGAATTCAAAAAGATATTTTGTGCAAGCAATTTTAACAGAATTTTTAAATCAACATTTTTTTTTGAGCTCCAGAAGAAAATGTTTTGTGGTAATTGACCAGACAATGTCGGGCCTCTTGTTCCTGGATGCTATTTTAAGTGAAAATTCCCTTTTTTCGCAGGTCTACTCTCATTGGTCAAAGAGTTTCTGTTCCCAACACAGCACTTCCTTCAATAACTCATTCTTTTTGTTTGTTCTTGCCTTCTCTCTAAAGTTGCTCCTTGTTCTTCGTTAGATTATAGCCTACCTGAGCTGAAAGATCAAATGAGCTTTTTCACATTTGGTCCTACGTCCGTCGGTTCCTATGTAAAGTTTTAACATAATCGACTTCTTATCCAGCACCACTTTAAGAAGTCAATTTATAATTATCAATCATATAATCAAGGATATTAAGAACAAGAGGCCCAAGGGACACATCACTCACCCGAGTTTGTTTATGGCCCCGCTGTTCTCCATTAGCAGATTTTTGTCCCCTTCATATTCTGATTACATATGTTGCCCCACCCTACCCCCGGGTGTTATTAATTGAACAAATCTGAATTTACACTATATAAATTCCATATGAATATGACTAAACATAGCTTTGATGTTCTTAAAAAGATTTTTCGTATACACATTTATTCCTATGTAAAAATTTAATCGCCTCATGTGGCCTCACCTTAGCCCCGGGGGTAATGATTTGCATAAACTTGAATCTACACTATTTATTAAAGCTATTACAGCTTATCTGGCTCAGCAGCAATTGAGAAAATGATTTTTAAAGATGACATTGAATTTTCATTAATTCTTGATAATCTCCCCTTGAAAGAATGCGTGACTCTACATTTGAACAAACTTAAATCCCCTTTCTTCTAAGGATGCTTCGTGGCAAGCTTGAATTTGGCTTAGTTGTTCTTGAGAGAAGCCAAAAATGTGAAAAGATTACAGACATCGCACGTCAGACAGACACCGGACACCCCTTCGATCAGAAAAGTTCACTTCACCCTTCGGCTCAGGTGAGATAAGAATCAGAGATAATCAAGAAAAGACAAAAAATAGATGGACGCCTTAAAAAATTCCACCACTGGGCCATAAAAGATGGAAGATATGTAAAATTTTCTCGACATGTTGTAGAATCAAGTTTCTTTAAATCACGATCCCTGGCGATATGGTGGAGACAAAGTAAGGATACATGTAACTATTTACATGAATATATGAAAAAACTATTCGTCTTCCTAAGAACAGCAGAGCTATAATTAGGCATATTTATGTATGCAAACTTCCTCAGGTAGTGTATATAAAGTTTGTTCAAATCATGGCTCATGTGGAAAAGGCGGAGACAGAATTAAGCATTAAAATTTTACAAGGGAATATAAAGAAAGTAATTCAAAAAATATTCTCAAGAGCAATATGAAAGTCTCCTTAATTAGTGCAGACTCAAATTTGTTCAAATCATTGTCCCTAGGGTAGGATTGGACCACAATAGGGGATGAAAGAAAATTTATTAAAAACCCCTCCCCATAAAGCAGAAAACAAACAAAAGCATTAGCAGGTAATTTAGAAGTTTGTTCAAATTACAGCCTCGGGAAAGGATGAGGCCACAATAACGCAATAATATGGGAATATACGGGAAAACATCTTTTTCTCAAGTACCACAAGCCTTTAATGTCATAATAATATGCAAGTATTTTCAGGTAGTGAAGATTCAAAATTGTTCAAAGGATGGTCCCAAGAGGTAGGCTGGGGCCACAATAGGGTATAATAGTTTTAAGTACGAATATCTAGGACATTTATTTAAAAAAGAATCTTGTCATGAGCTAGGGCCACGCTAAATCATACAAATATAAAAACCTTGTTTTGAGGATCTGCCGCTGAACATTTGGGCCTAATATTTTTCATTGTAGATTCTTTTATTTTCAGAAATTTTTGAAAAATAAATTTTCTGCACATAAACTTAACTATGCCTACTAAAAAATGAGTGCTTCATATATAGAATTTTACCATGTATCATCTGTGTACAAAAAGGGAAAAAAATTAATGATATGACCTAGATGTTGTTCATTTTAGGGACCGACAGTATCTAGCTCTACAGGACCCTCGGCAGCACAGTCTGGTTTATACTACATGTATATAGAGGCTTCTTCACCACGCTCAGCTGGAGAAACGGCTGTTATGAACACATCTATCATTGACTTCTTAATTGGTATGTTTTTAACGCAAAAATATTTCTTTTCACTTAAGTTTCAAATTCACAAAATTGGTAATTCGTTCGCTGTGTCTCGACCGATGTTAAGATAAAAGAAAAAGAACAAAAGTATTGGGCAATTCTTAATATTATTTTTTATTTTTAACCAAATGAGATTTCACATCGTCAATATATTTGTCCCCCGCTTTCACTGAAAGTGGGGGATATTAATTTGGGTCTCTCTGTCCGTCCGTCCGTCCGTCTGTATTTCTGTCTGTCTGTAACACTTTCGTTTCCGCGCGATATCTCGAGAACCCTTTGAGCTTTCGCAATGAAATTTTGCATAGCAACTCCCTATGGACTAAAGAAGAACCCTATTAATTTTGAGGTCAAAAGGTCAAAGGTCAAGATCATAAATTCTGTCTGTTTTAACACTTTCGTTTCCGCGCGCGATATCTCGCGAATTCTGTAAGCTTTTGCAATGAAATTTTACATAACAACTCCCTGTGGACTAAAGAAGAACCTTATTAATTTTGAGGTCAAAAGGTCAAAGGTCAAGGTCGTAAATTCACAAATTCCGTCTGTGTGTAACACTTTCGTTTCCGGGCGATATCTCAAAAAGCTTTTGAGCTTTTGCAAAGAAATTTTATACCATAACTCCCAATGGCATCTCTCGCCCCTCTCAAAGTGTCCCGCCCCGTTTTTTTTTTTATTGTGTATTTAAAAGTCGCTTGGCACTATTTTTAGCACAGGGGCAGGTGGAGAGTTATTACGTATAATACATAATTTTTTCTGCGTTCATAAAACTATTCCAAAGCTTTTTAGGGAGAGTTGTGTTTATTTTGTTGCCCACTTTTACAATGATTTACAAACAGTTACAAAAAGAGATCATTGTGTCAAGTGCTTTATATTCTAATTACATCTATTAGAACTGTTTAGTAAAGGCTAAATTAGACAATATGTAATGTGTAAAATTTTGACAATATCGAAAGTGAATATAAACATTATATGTGACCTAATGTTTGCATTTAATCAGACTTAACTCAATATGAGTCATATTATGGAAATGAGTAGATCAACTTCTTGTTACATAGTCAAAGAAGCATAACTTTTACGACATTATCATTACTGACTTGTGTGTGTGACCTAGTGTTTGCCTTTAATTTGCTATATAATAAAGTGCCTCCGTGATCTAGGGGTATGTTGCTCGCTTAGCAAGCGAGAGGCGCGGGTTCAATCCCCGATCGATTCTATTTTTCTTTTTTTTAATTTTTTTTTTTTTGATTTACTAAATGATACTCTTCAACATGTGAAATGAAAAAGTTATGTTTGTTTGTTTGAATGTTGTTTAACGTCCCTCTCGAGAATTTTTCACTCATATGGAGACGCCACCACTTGCCGGTGGAGAGCTGCAAATTTTGTCCTATACTCGGCACTTACGGCCATTGAGCAGTGAGGGATCTTTTTCGTGCCAGCACCTACTGCGACACGGGACCTCGGTTTATACGGTCTCATCCGAAGGACCGGTCTCCACGTCCCACAGTGGGATTCGAACCCGCGACGTAAGGATCAACTCCTTACTCCGCGACTCTAGAGCAGACGCTCTAAGCACTGCGCCACGCGCGCGACGAAAAAGTTATGATGTCTGGCGTGTACAAACTCATAAAATCATTATTACAGTGTGATAAATATTCTGTATATTAAAAAGAATCTTCTGTACACATATTAAAGAATAAGCAATCAAATCTTTATATCCATATTGGCACTTCTTTTTAATTTGCTTCAATATACATGTATGCATTTTGTACTGTCCGTGATTATCGTGCTCTAGACACTCATTATAAAACACGTCCGTTTGGTTTAATGCTTTAATTCTAAACTACATAACTAAGCAATTTCACAAACCGCGTGGCTGAGGCTGTCAACATCAATTACTGACTTAATACTAAACATATAGCATTCTGCTGATACAGCACATTCCTATATGTGGGAAACATTAAATCTGAATGAACTATTTAAGATATAGACATTACACATTTAATAATTCTACAAATATAGGGCAGTGTGACCCCCCCCCCCCCCCGAACTGCGCATGCTCTTCTTTTTTCCCTAAGCGGGGGACACAAATTCTCTGAATTAGCTTGTAGTGTTTTAAGTTCTCGTTTGCATTCAGCTACATATAAAGAACACAACTAATAATGATCACTATAAATTTCATCTATTAGTTAAGGAAAGCGTTACCTAATAAAAAAAATGAATATTTGCCGTTTTAAGTTTCTATATGAAAAAGTTTCAGACCATTGGGGTCCCATTATGGCTGAAAATATTCTGATACATTTTCATATGGTTTTATATTGAGAGACATGTTTCTTTGCAATTACGATATTCAGAAATTACCTGGAAGAAATACCCACTTCTTCCCCGATCCGGGCTTAAAGTGGAGACCTGTGGAATCTGTCTCCTAGCATTGCAGGAACTGGACCATCTAGACCACTGGACCATCTAGGCAAGTTAAAAAAACTTGCTTCTGATGGCGATGAAATTCTAGCGCCGCCACTCTATACTACATTAAATATATATATATATATATATATATATATATATATATATATATATATATATATAAAAGAGATACTCCTTTTTCAAAACCATATTTTGATTTTGAAGTTTTTCGGTTTCAAACTCTGCTTTTGTTAATTCAACCGTCATATTCTTCTTCTCTTTATTTTACATGCATAGTTGAAATTTAAGATTTTTCAGATCAGTTTGTATAGTGCACGACTGTCTCGAAGAGAACTGAATGGCAATTCTCGCAGTATTTGTTTATTTTCGAGATACTTGCACAGTCTTTTCAAGTCCCAAGTCTTTTTCCTGCTACAAGTAGCAACCGGTCCTTTGAAATCACTTTTTGGCTTTGATACTTTAATCTGTGTGAAGCACATCCTAAAACAAGGTCCAATTCTGTGACATCTGTAGCACTTCTGATTGAATGCGAAACATAAAACGTTAGAATGCACGTTTCCACACCTTCTGCACACTGGATGCTGACATGAAGGGAAGTTGAACTTCTGTCTGCACTGCGGTCGGAAAGAATATTCCATTGCTGAATTTGTCCTTAGACGTCTCCTTCATCTGTAATAAGCACTGTCAAATTCTGGGGAAACTCGCTATTTGGCTTTAGTTGAGGTCCAGGATCTGACTACTACAAAGTATATGTAGCAGTCCCGGTGTCATTACCCTTAGGTTTCTCCAACCAAGTATTACGGTTTGAATTTGTTCGTCAAATTGTTATTCTGGCCAACCCTGAGTTCTCCTCTTATTGTTAAACCCAGATTCATGAAAACCTCCAACAAGCCAACACGCGTTGTAGTTTTTTGTACTTTTATGTAGAATTAGCATGGAATATACTTTTACATGAGTTTGGGATGTATCAGCACCGAAAGTCTGATTCCAAATGACTTTAATTTTTTTAACAAAACACACATACTGAACAACATGAACAAAGAAAGAGTAAAATAAAAGGATTAACAAAAAGTATAAAGAAATCAAGTATCAAACAATTATTGAGCGAATGATGACATTTAGCGGCATGTATATAATAGAATTAAAGTAGATGAAAGATTAAGTGTCAATAAATATAAACAGAAGTCAATTAAGGGATTAAGTGTCCATCTCTGACTCTGCCTCTGGTGGGATTACGGCTGTGTGGAATTTATAGAATTTAACACATTTGCGGAAATATAAGAAAAGTTTTAGTAACAATTAACACAAAGTCCGAAAAGTTAATTCACATAGTAATTTATGATAATTCCATGTGTGATACAAAGTAGTTATGTTTAAAATGACAACTTCCTTTTTTATTTTCAGCTATTTTAAGATGTCTGAAGTTCTATTACCACATGTTTGGATCGACAGTAGGGTCACTTAATGTCTTTTATCAGGGAACGAATACTCCAAAGACGTTAGCATTTTCGAAATCTGGAAACCAGGGAAATTCTTGGCATTACGCTGAAATTGATATCCCTGCAATTAGCAACTTGCAGGTACTCATTTTATTATCTGTTATTTTCATTAACAAAAATAATTAGATAACAATATTTATATTGACCGGATTTCGTAGGTATCACTTAGAGTATTTAGAGTAAATTAAGTCGTTCCTTATGAAGAATCAAAATACCGGGCAAGAAAATCAGTATAACTAACACATTTTATATTGAAAAAAGTAATATATAACAATGAACATATTTTCTTAACCCCTCTCCGAAGGAGGGGGGGGGGTATACTGATTTACCCTTGTGTGTCTGTCTGTAAATTTAAGCACAGTCTTTGTTCAGCCATGCCATATAGTAGGATTCATTTTTGTACGAATCCTATGTCAACTTCCTGCTTATCCGTGCATCTGTCCGAACCACATTTCTGTCGTAGTTTTCTCGGCAACTACTCATCACAGATGCTTGAAATTTTAGCAGTCTTTGTTAAGGCATGCCATATGATGGTATCAATTTTTGTACAAATCCGATGTCAACTTCCTGTTTATCTGCGTGTCTCGCCGTACCAAATTCCCTTCGCAGTTTTCTCATGATCAGCAACTACTCATCGAAGATGCTTGAAATTTTAGTACAGTCTTTGTTTAGGCATGCAATATGATGGGATTCATGACTGTACAATTCCGATGTCAACTTCCTATTTATATTCGCTTATAGCAGTACCAAATTTCCGTCTTCTCAGCAACTACTCATCGCAGATGTTTGAAATTTTACCACAGTTTTTGTTTAGGCATCTCATACAGTGGGATTTATTTCTGTACGAATCCGATGTCAATATCCTGCTTATTGGTGTATCTGTCCGTAAGAAATTTCCGTCGTAGTTTTCTCAGCAACTGCTCATCACAGATGCCTGAAATTTTAGCAGTCTTTGTTTATGCATTGTTACTACGCACTTTGAAAAATTACGCACTGTGAAAAAAATCTTCAAAGTGGGACCACGTTAACGCACTTTGAAAAAAAATAATTCTTTTC